TACATTATGGTCCATTTAGAGTCAAACAGACCATAAAGCAGGGGATGGAAGGCTGGTCTCATCCAGCATTCGTAGCTATATCTACTGTATGCACCGTAATTCGTGGATATCCAACAAAATATTGTAAATGTTTTCAACGTAATCATGAACAAGGAAGTTTAAATACCGAAAAAGCCGACCCAGGACGAGAGGGAGGGGAGGTGGACGAGACAAAGAAAACAACCCAAACACAATCTTTTCCTAAACCTTACTAAGTAGATGAGTTGCAACAAGCTTGTCATTTGGCATTCCTAGCTTTTCCTACGAATAATAACGTAATTCGTAGATATCTTGTGAAATTATCAATTATCAATAATGAATAAGGAAGCATAAAGCCTGCAAAGCCCCTCACAAGGCCGGCGGGAGGTGGATGTTTTTGTCACGAAACTTGTGTACCTCAGTAACGATATTTCTGACGATCTTTTCCTGAACCTATCTACGTAGTTTCCATAAAAGATGGACGTTTATTTTAAAAAGACTGTGTATGCATGTAACGAGCAGAAATTGCCACGCGTTGCTGGACTTTTACAGGAAAATGCACAGAAAATGGAGATGTTGATGAGGGACAGTTTGTGAGTCAACGACTCATCTTTCTTGTCGATCCGTGTTAGAAACACTCCGACTGAGAGTTACCTGAAAGTCTTCCTACCAGAACAACAGTGAAAAGCTACCAAGCTGCATTTATCTAGAAGAACAAATGGAAAATCTTTTATGAACTGAATGAATGTTGGATCACGAGTTTCTCTTTAAAGAGAAGCAACGTTTATTTAATATAAATGTCTGATTATGTCTTCTTTAATGAAGGAGCACTACGACACCTTCACTATGAGGCTGGAGAAGAGGAGGTTGGAGGAGGTGGAGATGTGGATGGCGGCTCCATAAGCGTTCTCTCCCTGATTCTCCAGTCGAGCAAACACCACCATCCTCCTCCTACCGGCCTCCACCACGTGAACCGAGCCCTCTGACGCCCCCCGGAGGCTGCAGAGCGACAGGGCGGCCCGGTCCCTCGAGCTGCAGAACCCCCTTCAAATAAAACACAACAACGTTAATGACCACGCCGTTCTTTGATCAAATGATGATAATAACACGTGTTTATGAAGTCCGGGCATCACTCACTGAACATCCATGAGGTCAGTGTGACTGTAGAGGATGAGGTCAGGAACGCAGGTGTCTTCCTGCTCACAGCCATTCCAGAAGGGAAGCTACGGAAAGAAAGAAGGACCATTTCATTTCTCTTTGATGAAGAACCTTCAATATGCAACACATTCTCACTCTCAACTCTTCACATACTGCCGCTTGGTCAGTGGCTCTACGCTTCAAACTCAGGAGACAACCTCTGGTTCTGCAGAGTGAAGCCAATGCTTCACGTGTTAAAGTTGCATTCTCTCTAGTGTCCAGCAGGGGGCGACTCCTC